ACCTCCTAGAGAAATGGAAATAAAAACAAAAATAAACAAATGGAACCTAATGAAACTTAAAAGCTTTTGCACAGCAAAGGAAACCATAAACAAAATGAAAAGACAACCTACAGAATGGGAGAAAATATTTGCAAATGAAGCAACTGACAGAGGACTAATCTCCAAAATTTACAAGCAGCTCATGCAGCTCAATATCAAACAAACAAACAGCCCAATCCAAAAATGGGTAGAAGACCTAAACAGACATTTTTCCAGAGAAGATATACAGATTGCCAACAAACCCATGAAAGAATGCTCAACATCACTAATCATTAGAGAAATGCAAATCAAAACTACAATGAGGTATCACCTCACACCAGTCAGAATGGCCATCATCAAAAAATCTACAAACAATAAATGCTGGAGAGGGTGTGGAGAAAAGGGAACCCTCTTGCACTGTTGGTGCGAATGTACATTGATACAGCCACTATGGAGAACAGTATGGAGGTTCCTTAAAAAACTAAAAATAGAACTACCATACCACCCAGCAATCCCACTACTGGTCATATGCCCTGAGAAAACAATAATTCAAAAAGAGTCAAGTGGGCTTCCCTGGTGATGCAGTGGTTGAGAATCTGCCTGCCAATGCAGGGGACACGGGTTCGAGCCCTGGTCTGGGAAGATCCCACATGCCAAGGAGCAACTGGGCCCGTGAGCCACAACTACTGAGCCTGTGCGTCTGGAGCCTGTGCTCTGCAACAAGAGAGGCCGTGATAGTGAGAGGCCTGCACACGACGATGAAGAGTGGCCCCCACTTGCCGCAACTAGAGAAAGCCCTCGCACAGAAACGAAGACCCAACACAGCCAAAAATAAATAAATAATTAATTAATTAAGACCACATATTAAAAAAAAAAAAAAGTCATGTGCCACAATGTTCATTGCAGCTCTATTTACAATAGCCAGGACATGGAAGCAACGCAAGTGTCCATCGACAGATGAATGGATAAAGAAGATGTGGCACATCTTCTTTATGGAAGATGGAATATTACTCAGCCATAAAAAGAAATGAAATTGAGTTATTTGTAGTGAGGTGGATGGACCTAGAGTCTGTCATACAGAGTGAAGTAAGTCAGAAAGAGAAAAACAAATACTGTATGCTAACACATAGATATGGAATAAAAAAAATGGTCATGAGGAACCTGGGGCCGTAAAGGAATAAAGACGCAGACGTAGAGAATAGACTTGAGGACGTGGGGATGGGGAAGGGTAAGCTGTGACAAAGCGAGAGAGTGGCATGGACATATATACACTACCAAATGTAAAATAGATAGCTAGTGGGAAGCAGCCGCATAGCACAGGGAGATCAGCTCGGTGCTTTGTGACCACCTAGAGGGGTGGGATAGGGAGGCTGGGAGGGAGGGAGACGCAAGAGGGAAGAGATATGGGAACATATGTATATGTATAACTGATTCACTTTGTTATAAAGCAGAAACTAACACACCACTGTAAAGCAATTATACTCCAATAAAGATGTTAAAAAAAGAAATATTATACCTGAATAACTTTAGAAACACATTTATAGATCATATAGTAAATATTATCATAACAACCGTTCCCTGAAGTGACTGTAGACAGCTAACAGAAGCTGGATTTCCAAAATGAAGTCATTTAAATTTCTAGAATATCATAAGGAAATGGCTTTGCTTTAAATACTAAAGTTTTAGAAGTTTATTTTAACGTACAAAAAACTCTAGTTAGGAAGAATAAAATAATTATAGCTTAGACCTAACATGGTTTTATAGATTCAGCTTTATATGGTTTTATAGATTCTTTACAGTTATACTTTGCCTTTTGCTTTTGATACTGTGGTTATTTAAGCATAAGGTTACAAAATCGCCCTTTGTTTCAGAAATGTTTCTACAGAAACCACCATGCACAATTTTTTCAATAGCAACTCAGTGTCTATTAGTTTTTAAGGTTCTTTAAAAAAATGTAAAAAAAAAAAAAAAAAAGTGTTTTACTTTGTACAGCCAGGAAGCAGCCTGTTTCCAAAACTAAGTGTGACCTCAACCTTTTGCCAAGGAAATCCCTTTACATCCAGAGAAAATAATAATTTCCTTGACAGAAGGTTGGCATTCCATTTACCCTTTTAAAAAATCAACACATACTTCTCTTATTATGAATGAAAAACAGTCAAAGAGGCATCTTTTGGACCAGAACAAAGAAAATAAAAGTTACAAATAATTCTACATATTTCTAATAAAATACTTTTTTCAATTTAAAATTGGGGGTAGAAAACAATTACATATTTACCTACATGATCACTTAACCAGTGATCAGTTACTGACATTCTGAGCTGTGCAGACATAAGAAATGAGGCGAAAAAAAAAAAAAGCCCTTAACTGTCAGCTAATATGGAATGTTGCAAAATCCACATACTTTATTCATAGGAACTCTTATCCTGTTCGTATCTCTCTCATGTAAAAGTAATTCAAGTACTAATTTTCAAACACATATATGTAATAGGCACTTCATATATATTAACATTAATCCTCCTAGCAGCTCTCATGATAATTTAATCCTCACTTTATATATCAAGAAATTGAGACCCAGAGGTTAAGGAATAGCTCATAAACGGCAGAGCCATTGATGGAACTCAAGGGTTTCTTACTTCAAAGCTTGCATTCATTTTTTACCATAAAGTATAATGATATGTTTTCTGAGCTAATTGGAATGGAGGAATGGCACAGCTGAATGCAGGCAATACCTTAACAAGAAAGAGAACCAGGGAAGAGACAAACAAATAGAAAAACTCTAATAACAAACTAAACTGAAAAGTCAAGAAAATCACCATTAATGGCTCTGTAGTGTAGGAATAAATAACTCCACATGTTATACCTTCTGAGGCTTTCACTAACCTAATAAACAGTGAAACTATAAGTAATAGTCATAACAGAAGTCTGTGTCATCAAAAAAAGAAAACTTAGGTTTTCTTCAGGATACTGTGTTAATAAGGCAGGAAGTTAGAAAAGTTATTTTAAACAGAGAAATTTTAATCCACGGGTTAAGATAAAAATGTTAATACTCAAGAGACAAATGTTAGCTGTCAAAAATTAATGTGCCACCTCTTGTTCTCTGAGGATGCCAGATGTAGAAGGTACTATATTAATATTACTTAAATTCACCTAGGCTTTTTATGGATATATGTTTTGGTTCATGAGGATATGTAGGGCAGAGCTTTGACAGATTAGATTGTTATGGTCATTTGTGTGAGCTTATAAATACTCTGTTATCCTCAGATTGTTAGATCTTAACCTCTGAAACTTTAGTAAGGAAAAAGACAACTTTAAAAAACTAAAGCTATTGAATCATTGTTGTACACCAGGAATTAACATGGTGTTGTAAGTCAATTATACTCAAAAGCAAACAAATACACTCAGAGAAAATGCTATCAGATTTGTGGTTACCAGAGGTGGGAGGTGGGGAGGAGGGGAATTGGATAAAGGTAGTCAAAAGGTACAAACCTAAGGTACAAACTTCCAGTTACAAGACAAATAAGCACCAGGGATGTAATATACGACATGATACATATAATTAACACTGCTGTATGTTATATATGACAGTTAAGAGAGTAAAACCTATGAGTTCTCATTACAAAGAAAAAAAGTTTTTTTCGTCTAATTTTGTATCTATATGAGATAATGGCTGTTCAATCAAGTTATTATGGTAATCACTTCATGATGTATGCAAGTCAAACCCTTATGCTGTACCTCTTAAACTTATACAGTGCTGTAGGTTAATTATCTCAATAAAACTGGAAGAAAAATTTTAAAAAGAAAAGAAAAGAAAAATTAAAACTAAAAGTTACAAACCCATAATGACAATTGATCCAGGGACTTTCGTTGCTCATTACCGAAAAAGAAGCTAATTTGTATATCCTAGCAAGACTAAATTTAGCTTGCACTATACGTATAATAGGCGTACAATAATCAATTGTTGAGTGAATGAATTTTGAAAAAACTGCTAAGGCAAACACCAAATGATGATGATGATGATACTAGAACAAGCTGAGTAAATTCTTTAATTTTAAATGTGCTATTTTATTGTTTCACAATTGCATGAGTTTTTTCCCCAGGAGTGAATAATCTGGGCAGTATGTTCATATCTATTTTAGGAAGATCTTTTAAAATTGGCCCATTAGTTTTCTTTTGTTCTCAAACTCTGTTTTCCAACAAACCTACAAAATTGTTAACTGGTTTTTCACACACTCCTGAGAGGTGCTGCTGTTGATCAATGAATCAGTGATGAAGATTTTAGTGCCTGCAGAAGAGGTAGGAGTTAGGAATTCAGTCCTAAAATATAGATACGTGGGGGTCTAGAATCTGACATTCAAATGCAGGTTGGTTGATTCTCTTTCAATCCAGTATACTCTTAGGTTTTTTGATTTGGGATGGATTTTAGATATCTTATAACTCAACTTTCCACTCTGCACAGAATTTTTCTCCAGCATCCCTAGCAGATTGTTCTCTGATCTCTCCTTCATGGTACTCTCTCCTGGAGCTTTGGGGATAACTCTGCTCCAAAGATATTAGAGGTTGGGACCTCTAATTACTGGAAAGTTTCTCTCTGTGTTGAATGGAAATCTTTCTTTGGAACAGCTACTCATTGGTTCTAGGCCTAAGCCTTTTGCAACCTCTTAGAAATGTCTCTCCAGCTTTAAATAGAGCCACTCTTCTGAGGTGACATCTTTGTTGGAATTCATCAAGCACTGGACCTAGGTCACATATATTCTGAGGATAACAGCAGGCACGGCTATGCTTGTGTAAACATGACATTTATCTTGAAGTGTTCTGTTACTCCTTTCTGAGACCCTCAAAAAGAAAAAAGAAAAAAAAAAGAAGGAAAAAGAAAAGTACTGGATTTCCAAATTTACAGAATCATCGAGTTAGAAAAAACCCTCCAAATTTGAAATAATGGAACCAATATTGGAGCACCTCAACAGATATTCATAACCACGCACCTAAAATTGCCTGGACTGTGCACATCTGTTTTAATGGAGTTGACTGCATACTCTGGCCTATAGGTCCCACACCACACCTAGGGACAGAAATAGAAAAAAGAAGGCAGCATACTTAGGTTCCATCAAGGATTATTTGTTTGGGCAATCTGGAGGACAAGCAAACTTCCTATCGCAAAAATGAAATTGGAATTCTGCATTCCTCAACCAATTACTCTTCAAATAATGTTCAATAATAGGCAGCCAGGAACATAATTATCATTAATACGGTCTGACGGTCTGTTACACACAATGAAAGTTAGTCAATCAAATGCTCTGCCACAATTGATTAAAACGAGAAAACTCAGTATGCAATATCTAACTTACTATGAAATTATAACTCAGGATGATTTTCATATCTATCAATCAAGAAAGATACAATACCTGGGCAAAATTCAAGAAGAACAGTTGTTTGTGATTTAGGTCAAGTCCAGGAAGTAATTTTTCTTCACCATGCTTTTTAACATAATTTTGATAGGCCTAGGCAGTTAATGAAAGAGAAACACGATGTTTATAATTTCCAAATTTATATATAAATCTATGCAAAGATCATGTAACCAAGTAATTAACCTTTTATATCAGAATCACCATAATAATATATTTAGTTATGGCAACCTACAAGTATTTAATGGATTAGAAAGAAAACTAGAATTTACTTACACATGCTCTGAAAAGAACAAGATTAATGACTAACAGATGATAAAAGCCTAGCATATGTCAGATGATCAGCAAATGTTAGCTGAATGAATGGATGACTTAAATAGTGATGAAAAACGTATCTAAATGTTGTTATATAGATGGGTGAGTCTAGCCAGTTGGAAGAAAAGATTGCCAATGGAGTCTGTAATTGCTGTACTTGGCCTGGTTACTACTCTCAGCAAAAGAGACTCACACCAGACTTCATATGAGTGATTCCTGACCAAAGTCAAGGGAGTCTCTCAACAGCCCTTAGAGGCCTAGCACCCTATGATTCTAAGAATAAGGATGTGCAATTATTATGGCCCCCTGAAGACAGGGCAAAATAGATTGAACCTCAGTCAAATTAAGAAAAAGGAATTTAGATTACTTGAACATCAGGAAATTTTCTTAATTCTTAAGGATCTATAGACACTATTGAAAAATGTAGTTTTCCTCTACTAAATACACTTAAGAAAAGGATTGACAACAAACTTTCTGAGATGTGTTAGTTTCAGTTTAATACAAAGAAAGGTGATATTAGATACACAGAAGATATATTTCTTTTCTTCTTACTTGCCATCAACATAGATTTATTGCGTCTGTAATGTGCAAAGATGCTGAGGATATGGGAAAGACTTGAGTCTACTCCTCTTAGGGAGCTCATAATCTAGCAGGGAGCATTACACGTCAAGATTTCATGTCTAATAACATATTTGTACAATCGTAATTTGCTTCATTATTATAAACCTGTACTTGTTCTACATGAGGATCTCCATGCAAGTACCCTTAACCCAGACTCAGGCCGAATTTTTACAGCAGTGATTCTCAATCTGGTTGCGTATTAGAATCACCACGGAGTTTAAAAGGCCCAATGCCTTCCACTTCCAGGCAAGATGGAGTGACAGGGACTGAATTTACCCTCCCACTGAAACGACCAAATGATAGACAAAATATATTAAACAATGGTTTGCATGACACTAGACGTCAGGCAAAAAGGAAAGTCATCTCTGGGAGATGGTAAACAAATAGGAGGAGCCTTACGATTGCCCCCAGCTTTTTGACTTGAGCATTTCCAGGCCATAAAACAGAGCAGGAAACCCCAGTGGGAGCCTGGCGGACTCCTTGAAAGGGTGAGGAGAAGGTGCTGAGAATTCAGGAACACCAAGGAAAGGGTAATGAAGAGGAGAAAGCTACAGAGAAAGAGACTCTCAGAGATCCATGGCCCCTCAGGTATTCAGCTGAGTACCTGAGTATGCATGTGAGCAAACTACCCAAGGCTAGGGAAGGAACTACAGAAAAGGATTAGAGATAAAAACGTCTGGTATCTCACAAGACAAGAACGAAAGATTCACACTGTAGGTTCTTGCCTCAGCAGTGAAGAATAATTACCCCTATACTGAGCACTACCCCAGACATGCCTAACAAATTGTAAAAGCAAGATCTAAAAGGACCAAGCCATTTCTGAGGAATTTAATGGCATCCTAGAATAAAGCTCAAGAATATTTAGAGGAAAACAAAAATATCCACCACCCAAAAAGGTAAAATGCACAATGTCTGGCATCCAGTAAAAAAATTTCCAAGTATTCAAAGAAGCAGTAATCTACCATCTCCCAGGACTTGGCTGGAACTCATTCTTTTGGAAACTTTGCAGCCAGATTAATCTCCCAAGCCTCACACTTTGATCATCCAGGGTCACTGCCAAGTCACAGGCCCCACCAGTCAACTCTCCTGCATTGTTCTGATAATTCCCTCCTCCCCTCCAACCCAAACATCTCCATGGAGAACAAATAACCCTATATCCTCCCCCACTCCAATGAATATTCCATCCATCTTTATGTCAGTAGCCTGATTCTATCCTGTGGACACCTTGTCCCCTGTATCCTCTCAAGTGGACTCTGTTTTTTCTCCCACATGTGGGCTACCTCAGCTTTGGGAAAACAACTCAAAATCATGCTCACTCCTTGCTGCTTCCAAGACCATTATTCCTCCACTGTTTTGTGAAAACCCCTACTTTTTCTTGTGCACACAGTATCCACTAGACCATCTTTAATCCTTGTTCAAATCATCAAATAATGGCATATTTTATGGAGGGTGCGAAGCTGGATCTCCAGTACCAAGTGCCAAACACATAGTAAAGCCCTCAGAAAGTATCGTCGAATGTTAAGAATGAAGGGAAGCCCAAATGAGATTCTAAGGGATGCTCCAACAATACACTCCTCTGAGTCTAATGGCTTACACCATTACAAGGCCACATGCTGGGACCATATCACTTCAGTCCCTCACTATCATTGTAATGGACTGTAGTTTAATATTATGCCTGTGGTTTATGCTGATTATTGTTCCCAAATACTGCTTCATCTGCCATGAGACTGAGGGTCATGCTCAGTACATCAATCAATGACTCTGAAATAAACCTTTCTATATACTAACTTTTCTAAAAAAACTATTTCAGAGGTTATTTCTTAGAAACATATCGCCTTCTCTGTGGAACTTGCTTATCTCAATTCTATCATTAAAATATTCTGTGTTTCCTTTTCTCCTTGGCTTCTTCAAAGCTTAGAGACTGGTATTCAGCTCAATCATATCAACTGTATTGCCCCTTCTGGTTAGCATATTTACAATCCCTTTTCTCCTTGTGAATTTTCCATTTTCTAGTCATCCATTTATTGCTTACATTATATGTCTTTTGCAAAAGGCTTTAAATGAGTGATTAAATATGATCAATATACACTCCAATCACTAAAAGGGGAAGAAAATATTATTACTCACTCTGTATGCTTGGCCAATACCACCATTATCAGCAATGTTTTCTCCTAGTGTGTTAATTCCATTGAGCTGTTAAAAAAAAAAGACACTTAAAGACCCTTAACTATGTTAAGAAAGCATGAATAATTCACTTAAAATTGAATATAACTTTTCAAGAGAATGCTGATGACATACATGCTGTCCACCTGCTAGGTCCCAGGAGAAGTTTCCATACTGGTACACCATGCATTGGGATTGGTCTTTAAAATTATTTGCAGACTGTTGAGTCCACCAGTCAACGAGGTCTCCATCCTTGTTAAAGTTTCTGCCTGGAATATATATTTATTTAACTAAAATGGGAACTTATTACAATTGCAATAAGATATCTTTAATTCAAAGTGCAAGGACTGAAATACCAGTATGTGAGAGAACATTAAACTGGACAAATGATGAGATAAACTGTTCTGCTTTCTCACCCAGAATTGATGAACCCCCAGCTGCTGGGACTCTCTTTGCTGATATGCCTTAGTATTAATCCAGGTATGTCACCCACTTGGCTGTTGATGTCTCAGCCAAGGCCACCAGACAAACACTCCTGAAATCAAGACTTGCTTCTGTTGGATGGTTTTCACCTGAACCAAATCTGTTTAATTTGATGTTTTGAGATTGTAAAGATGTCAATATTTCACTCTGGCATTCATTTCGTTAGACATTGCAGACCCATAGTTTTGCTATACTTCAAGTACAAAGAAAAAGTCACCTTTTCTCCTGGAGCTTTCTTGCTAATTGTTTTTTACTTTTTATCTTATATTGGAGTATAGTTGATTAACAATGTTGTGATAGTTTCAGGTGTACAGCAAAGTGATCCAGTTATACATCTATCTATTCTTTTTCAAATTCGTTTCCTATTTAGGTTGTTATATAATATTGAGCAGAATCCCCTGTGCTATACAGTAGGTCCTTGTTGGTTACCCATTTTAAATATAGCAGTGTGCACAAGTCAATCCCAAACTCCCTAACTATTCCTTCCGCCCAACCCTTCCCCGTTGCTAATCTTAACTACGTTGATCTTTCCCCTTTTGAGCTTTAGCAGCATTTATATATGTCATATGTTTGATACTTGATTTTATTACCTTTTAAACAGTTATCTATGATGTAGTGAATAAGAAAAGGGCTATAAGGACAAGCTACCTGAACCCACATCCTGGTTCCACCAATTTCCAGTTTTGTAATTTTGAGCAAGTCTTATGTGCATCTATTTTTCTGTTTGAAAAATGGAAATAGTATTAATACCTACCTGTGAAGTTTGTTGTATAGTTTGAGTTAACAGAAGCTCAGTTAAGTCCTTCCTGTCTCCTTTTCTTCCTCTGTCTCTCTAAAGTTGCATTAAGGCTTCATTATTTTCCCTCTACTGTTCTCTTGTTATTTTCTTTCCACTTGTGAATCGATCTTTGTTATAACTTCAACTATTACCTCTTTACATATTTTACATCCTTACTTCTATTCCTCTCAAATTTCATTTCTAAAACTATTTTGCATTTTGGGCAGCATGTAAACATTTAATTGCCTACTGTTTTCAAGGCCCTGAACTAGGTAGTAGGTGTCAGATGCAGCAAAAAATATGTCTCTGACCACAAGCAGTTAAAAGTCCTGTGGGCACCTTATTTTCTGAGTTTACATCTGATTTTTAAGACATGGACTCTGCCCTCTAAAAGTCTAGTGAGATAAGATATAAACAATCATGAAATAAGACCAAACATTATCATTGGTGTTGACAAATATCACAATGTTTTCTCAATGTGAATATTTGTTTTATTCTGTCAGAGTAAAAAGCACACATTGCTAACCTCACTATTAGAAAATACTGATCTTCTTAAGCAACAATTTAAAAGGAACACTAAAAGTGTGGTCATTATTAGACCAATGATATGCTGATGAATAAATGTGTTTTTGTATTGATAAATTATAATAACTCTTAATGAGGTTTACTAGGGTATATCTCAGCCAAAGAAAAGCATCAATTGCACTTTACCATTGTCATCGAAGCCATGGGTGATTTCGTGTCCTATGACCATGCCGATGCCCCCATAGTTCAATGAGCTAGACTGCTGGGCACTGAAGAACGGGGGCTGCAGAATGCCAGCTGGGAAGACTATGAAGAAAGTAGACAGTTAAGACTACTTGTGGTTTTATTCTGTGACGACAGGCCTGGGGTTGGCTTCTTGCCTGCTAAGCTGTTTTCCAGTATGTCAGGTTCACTTAATTGTGTACAAAAATCTTCTGTGATAGAAACAAATGCAGGTCTTTTATTGTTGATGACAGTAAAGAGTTCATCCCAGAGTGGCACCACATCTGTGATTTATAATCATAATTGACTTTGTAACATCTATTAAGATTGTTTCCCCACTGTAAGGAGTTTAGAGTGAAGGAAAATTATCATCTTCATGCAGGTCTTTTCCCCAACTGCAAATATTTGGGAGAAATAGCTACTTAATAATGGAAGTATTACTTTTAATTTGTCTAACATTTTATCCATCTACAATAGCTTAGTAAATAAACAGAGCCACTCAATCGAAAGTATCCCCCAATTACACCACACTTATTTATTTTCATCAAGGCATGTATGAGTATTTATGGTTGTTTGGTCCTTCTTTTTCTTGTCTGTCCCCATGGCACCTCAAATATTAGCTCATTGAGAGCACAGATTTGTTTGTACATACGTGTGTTTGTTTATTTTTGAGTCCATTTGAATTCTCAGTTCATTATCTCCAGCACCTAAAACTGGATGGTGCCTGGAACATAACAGGTGCTCAGGAAATGTGTTGAATAAATGAATAATCAATGATGATGAATGAATGAACGAATTTCCTACGGTGTCCTAAAGACTTTGCAAATAAACAAACTGTAATTTTTATGTCTACCCTGACATCTGTCTTACCTTGCTAACTTTCTACACTTAGGTGTCTCACACTATTTAAATTTCATGTGTCAGACACCAAACTCATCATTTTCCCTTCGAAGCCACCACTCTGACTTTATTATTTCTTCTAATAGCGTGTGAAGGGTCTCAGTCACCCAAACTGAACATTTTTCTGTCTATCTTCGATGTCTCCTTTCTTTTACAAAGTCTCATATGATCTATTTAGGAAAAGATCAGGTCATGTACCTTCTTTCCAGTAGCATCTCTTCTGTTTATCTCCTCCTATCAGTCCTACTGCCACCTTCCTAGTTCACACTCTCATTCCTTGCCTCAAGAACTTAATTTCCTAATCGGTCTTCTTACTTCCAGTCTCACCCTACTACAATCTATCCTAAATTCAACCTATCTTGTTGGCCAATAAAAGTGCCACTGTAGTCATTACCTCTCCTCTGCTAAAACACCTTTGATGGCTTATCGTTGCTCCCTAACTAGATACAGCCTCTTCTTACTGGCCTTTGTCTCTATGGTCTTCTATTTCTCCGCCTCCCCCACACTCTCCCCTTCCCTCATAACTTCCATGGTTTTGTAATTGTATCTTTCATGTTCTACAATTCTAGTATCCACTGAAGCATTATGTTCTGTAATCGAAAAAAAAAATCATTAGTTTCAACACCTACTATGCATGCAAAGCCCCGGGCCATTGCTACATGGGATATCAAGAATACAAGAGAAAGGCCCTGACCTTAAGAAATTTAAGACCTAGTTAATACAGAGTAGCAAATGTTGTTTCTTTGCCATTCAGGTGGGGTATGACATAACCTTGCAAGGGTTTCAGGGATAAATATTAGGTATTTACAGGGGAGACTTTAAAATACACTGGGCAATTTAAGTGCTCTCCAGATCTTTAAAAAAAATCTTGAAAGTTGCCATAACATTCAAAATTACAAAAAAAAAAACTTTTGTCCTTGGAGAATTTTGATGAACGTTATACCTCACGTGTAGCTGCCTGAGCTATCAACAGTGCCAAGAAATTATTTTTAGCTTGAAGTATAAAAATTGTGTGCAGTACTTTATTAACTTAAAGTGAACACTATCTCCCACACTATGTACTTTGATTAAAATCCATCCATTATATAAAATGCTCTTATGAAATGTGCTATCAAGACTAAACATGAACTGTAAAGATCCTACTGCTTTAATTATACCCTGATATGCCACTCCTCAGGCAAGTGATAAGATTTTTATGGCTCATATTAAATACTAGTCTTCAAGTTCAACTTTGCAAATTATGATTTCTCCTTTTACTCTGTCAGCTAAATGTCTATGATGAGGATTTTCCCCATTAGCCTTATCACTGTTACTAGTACACATCACAACTCTTGATAATAACCAACTGCTTAGTTGTGCATTTTTTATGTTCATGATTGTCAACAAGTTAGTTAATTAAATAAGGCATTGGTCCATGAAACAAAAGGCTGTTTCTACCCACCCCCAGCCCCTCACTGCCCTGGTTTATTTTTTTAAGGCTGCAAGCAATTCGACTTTAGAATCTTTGATATAAAGCTCAAGAGTGCATTCAGATAAACTCAATTTTGGTGGAAAAAATTAAACATTGTTTTTATATTAAATGAAATAGCAATATGTTCAGAAACATTTACTCTTAATTCTCAAGTCTGAAAATAAGACTCCTAAGAATGACTAAGACAAGTTTAGAAAATTTAATTATGTCAAGGTAGTCACAGATCACCCAGACTGAATATACTAAATAATCCATAAATTTCCTAAAATTGAAAAAAAATTTCTTGTTAATGAAAAAGGAGAATGCAGCAGTAGTAAGACTTCCCAAATGACTTGATCATTTCCTTGGAAATGACTTGAAAGTTTAATAGGATGATTGAGTGGTGTCTGAAACTTACAGAGAAACATTTGACAAAACTTTCAAGCACAGCTTTCCTAACGGCATGAAAGATTCCTAAAGCTCCATGGAGTAACTATGAGTTATGACAAAAGTGGTGGGAATTGAATTAAACAGTAAAAATTACTAATATGAATAATTCCCTATACAATAATAAAACAAGTTATTTTTCACCATAACATAAAAAGACCAATCCCATTAGAAATTGTATGTGATCTAGCTTAGGGTATTTGTGTGAAGGTGGGAGGATCATTTATGAGACATGTTATTCTATACCAATTCTAATTCTGTAATGCACATCATATCAAGTTCATTAAGACAGTGCTGCAAAAGTTATATCTCTAGGTATAGATAGACATACAAATACACTTTTATCAAGAAGAAAGATAGAGATCTGGATCTTCAATTGTTTTTAGTTAAGACAATCCCCACTCTGGAGATTTAAATGAATTGTTAAGGAGAAAACGTACACATGTCAAATATTTCTCCTCTTGCATGACACTTTCCCTTTCTCTGAACCGC